GTATGGTCATACCACAATCCATTCTCTTCCATTTCTCCATCCTGTTGAGATTTTGGGCATGCACACCGGTGATCAGTGCTGGGGGCTGGTATTTGAACTGCAGTCAGCCATGTGGGATCTATCTTTCTTAACCACTAGGCTGCGAGGCCAGCCCTGCTTTTGTTTTGATCTGTGTGCAGTAACTACTAACTGTATGTAAAACTGCTTAGAATATTGGTATGATAGATACAAGACATTTTTCTCTTCATTATCATCTTTCATACTCTTTTAAAAAGTACTGAGTGTGAGTTCTGCTCTTAATACTCATAGACACCAAATAGTGGAAGAGGGCAGGAGAAAGTTTCTAGTTCCTTGCTCTTTAACTAAAGGGATATCAGACATTCACCAAGGTGCTAGGTTTTTTTTTTTTCTTTTAAATCTTAACATAGGCACAAGAACTTATGTAAGGCTCCCGTGCCACATTTGCCCCTTAGTGTGACTATCCCTACACATGTATTTATCTTGAGAGCCATCCCTGAAAGCAGTTAAGATTCAGCTCTGCAAAATCCCAGTTGTAACTCTGGGTTATATTTTGTCCACATGGAACATCTCAGGAGCATTTTGCTATAAGAATTCCTAGGTTCCAGTATAGGGTAAATGGATGAACGAAGTACAATTAGGATGACTGTTCTATGTCTTTCTCCTTATAGCTTTCTTCCTCAACAATGTTCACTTGACTTTTTAAAAATCAGTTTTCTCCTCATATGCCTTTCTAATTGTGTGTGTGTGTGAGAGAGAGAGAGAGAGAGAGAGAGAGAGAGAGAGAGAGAGAGAGGAGATGAAGTCCTGACAGTTTGAGACAGGTATATGCAGGGAATACGATTCTGGGATGTCTCCTTTGAGGTGAAGATATTTAACCAAAAGAAAATTATTATTAGGTCGTCAGGAAAGTTAGGGTGTATTTTTCTATGCAAAAATGCATAGAAATGTCATGACTTTCCAGATTACACAGTATTTTAATGGGCTTGCATTTTATAGTTTTCTTTACATTTGTTGTTGTTGCTGCTGTTGTCATCAAGAGAGTTCCTTTATGAAGAATTTGCGAGCTACTGAAACATTTCTTAGGAGCTTTTTGGTAAATTTAATCATAAAATTAAAAAGAATGTGTGTATGTTTATAAAGGCATGTCTCTGATAAGAATGCTGATTTTATAGTTGCCTCTTCTTCTGTACTTTAATTACCACCTTGGCAGCTCTTTTCTGACTTTTCAGACTTGCTTCTTGCTGTCACAGCTCTCTGTAACATCATGTAGATCAGCTGCCTCAGTTCTGAGAGGGTGCTTTTTGAGACATTTTATGTATAGTTTTCTGATGCTCTGACAAAGAGGGTATAGTGGAACCCAGGGAAATGACAACCTTACTAACACATAATGCAGTAGGACTTACTTCTGGCAAAACCAGAACCAAAACCCTGGAGGTCCAGATAATCACCAATATAAAATGATGTTTACAAATGTAATCTTGTTTCAGCAGAGCAGAAGGCCACTTTCTATTGGAATGCATCTTGCAAATGTGGCATCACCCATGTAGTGTATAGCACCAAGAGAGTGTAGGAATCTGGAATGGAGGGCAGCTGACTCTGCAGTGAGCCTTTGAGAAATACCACAGTCCTGGTTGTGAAAAAGATCTGTGTGACCCCTTACGTTTAGAACCTGTGCTTTCTTATTTACAGTGGATAAAGCAACACATACTTTGAAAAAGAATAGTTAATGAAGAAATGTTGCAGGTAATGTGATATGAACTCTATTAATGAGAAGAAAAATATTACTTTGCTGAAGATAGAGTCATGAAGGCTGAGTTTGCCACTGTTTCGTCACTATGTGACTTTCTTCTTGATGGCACCTAGGTCTTTCTGAACTTTGCTGAACTTGGGGGCGTTTTTCAAGTTTGTAATCTCAACGCTTCAGCATTATGTTATAAATACTCTCTGGACACTGTTGAGAGACTGACATCCAGTATCCTCTTTCCACTTGCTCTTGTGCTTGCTGATTTGTCATTCCAGGGTATGGACAGACCCCTAAGCTGAAGGTCTCCCAGAGGAGGATGCCAAAGCTCCATGCGTCACTTTCAGGACGATATCTCCCATAATTAAGAGCTTCTGGTGCTGTCCATTTAATGGGAATCTGCTTTAAGTCAGAAGATGAATACACACCACCATCCTCTTGACGAGACATTCCAAAGTCACTGATTTTCAGAACATTGTTTTCACCTCCAGGCAGTTCTTACAGCAAAATCCTTATGTATACAGTTTTTACTTGAGATATGCCATCCAGAAGCAGCATCTAATGAACATGTCATTGAGTTTTAGCTCATCCTTCTTTCTCAGAAAGGAAAGGAAATCGCCTCCTGGAACCAGGTCCTTAATGATGTAGATAGGCTGTCTTTGTGTGCGAACTCCTATAATTTGACAATAATGGGATGATTACATTGCTTGAGGATTTTTGGCTTGTAAAAATTTTAATTTCAGTTCCTGGGAAAGATCTTCTTTACATGTTTCAACAGCAACAGCAATTTTATCCTTTGATGTGCCCTTAAATACATCATCGAAATTTCCCTTGCCCAATAATTCTCTTAATGTGACATCTTTGTGACTGAGAACACGTTTTTCATTCTCCTTGTTTTGGTAGTACTGATCTCATGATGCTCTTTGCTGGAACATCAACTTTTTTTTTCCCGGCAGTTAAAAAATGGACATAAAATTCACCATTTTAAATTGTGCAATTCAGTGGTTTTTAGTATGTTCACTGTTATGCAGCCATCACCTGTGTTCAATTCCAGAACATTTCTATCATCCCCAAAAGAAGCCCATGCCTGTTAGCAGTCACTCCAAATTCTTCCTTCCTCTAGCCCCTGGAAACCACTAATATACTTTCTGTCTAGATGGATTTGTCTATTTTGCATATTTCATACAAAAGAAGTCATGTAATTTGTGGCCTCCTATGTCTGCGTTGCTTCACTTGGCATCATGTTTTTAAGACTCCTTCATGTCATAGCGTATGTCAGTGCTCCATTCCTTTATATGGCTAAAATAATACTCCATTGTGTGAGTGTGTACCACATCTCTCGTCTAGCCATTCATCACTTGATGGACAGGAACAATGACTTTTAAGTATTAAGATTGTAAGTTCAATATTAGTGTGACTGCACTTAAAATTGATGATGTCAGGATTATACATGGTGTAAACACGATGCTGTATAGAAATGATTCGTAAATTATTTGTCATTTCATGCAAGTATGATTATTTTTTAAGGCCCCTTTTAACTCTGGTTTTATGAAATATGTGAATGTATTTTGAATAAAGTTTAATGCATTAAGCATTAATTTAAAATTTGAATGAGAGCAATGTTTGGCAGATATGAGGTTATTTGCCACATGCTGTAATGATCATGTTCTAAATTTATTTCAATATGCAGTATTTGAAAAATGTCAATACATAATGGAAAGGAAATAAGTATAATTGAGTCAATATATTTTTAAAGCAATTTTTATAATTTAGCAGACATTGCATCTTAATATAAGTCACTATTAAAGTTATGTCCTTGTGAAAAATGTGATGTTATTTTTCTGTTTTTTGATTAATCATGTAAAATAGATTTCTTTGCTACATGTCCTGTTTACTTTTGATAAGCTATTGCTTGCCTCTGTGGAATGTTATACTTGTTGCTATTCCATGCCCCCACCCATCCCTCTCACATATAAAATGTTCAGTTTTTTTTTTTTTTAAGTCATGAGATATTTTATTCTTTTGTGGGGACCTTAATTCAGATCTTTGTTATTGATGGAACTCATTTTTTATTTCTTACATCTCCCTCCTTTTCTTCCTCTCCCCCACTTCTTTTTTCCTTTTTTCTTTTTTTCCTTCCCTCCATCCTTCCTTCTCTTCTTCCCTCTCCTGTTTTTGACCTTCCTTCCTCCCTCCCTCCTTACCTTCCTTTTGTTCTTATCTATCAATATAATCACTTTGTTTCTTTCAGATGAGATTGGAATGAAATTGTTCAGCTGTGACCAGAAATTTATTTTCCAAGTAGATTGCCAAGAATTGCGAATGAAGAGGGCCCATTTGCATCTTCTTAAATTATTCAGTTATCTGCTTTATTGCTCCATATGGGAAACTTAAAATTGTTGAGTTGTGCATTACTGTATTTTACCTTGTTGCTTAGTTTCTACATGTTTATTTTCAGTAATGGCTGAAAGTGTTAACTGTTCCATATTTTTAGCACAATGTGCTGCATATAGTTCCCAATAAGCAATTAAGGTTACATGTGTACAGAATTTCACTTTAGGTTAACTAAATATTGCCTGGGTTTAGTTGTATTTTTTCCAATCTGAAATGCTTCCTTTTTATTGTTTGAAACTGAAAATAAACAATTATTGAACTATTTTGAATTTACCTCATTTTAAAACTCAGTTTTAATTTATTTGGCCTGTTTTTAAGGAGAGTCATGAAAAATAAAGTGGGAGCAGTATCTTATGCAATGCCTAGGAATCTCTTTATATATAATATATATATATATAGTACATGTACAACATTAAAACCTGTTTAAAAAAGAAAACAGTACCAGCACTCACTTGTTCCTTGCCATTTTTTCTTGTAATTATTTTAGACAAGTCATGGGGGGTGGTGAGGAATCAAAAGTTAGTTTTAATTCTACAGCTACAGGAGCTTTGTATTGCCGAACTTTCGTCTGGAAAAGTTTCACAGTGACATTTTTAAAAGAAAAATTTTTTATCTACTGAATTCTACCAGTGTAATAACCTTTTTTTCTAAATAAACAATAGTTTTCTCAAATGATTGTATATCATTGTGAATAGTGTTGCTTATTCCAATAACTTAGCAAAGATAATTCAATAAGGTTTCTACCTCTTTCAGTTTTCAGTCCACAGGCTATGTTGTTTTCAGATGAAAAAATTCAGTACTATGAAAATATCCTGCTTAATTCCCTCTGCACCTGGGTAAACAGTGGGCTGATGCAATGCCTAGAATTATCCATATAGTCTTCTGTTCCTTGGGAAAAAAATGATAACCATGTAAATAAATTTTTTTAGAGAATGACGAAAAAGATACAGTTTTTAAAAAAGATTAAGAGATGCTAAGCATATTTTAGAACTGGCAATGGGGTATGAATCTCTATGTCCCTTTTCAGATGATTGTAATTTGCAAAAGTTTGGTGAGCAGAAAAATTGTGAGGGTAGATCTGTTCAACAACAACAGTACCCATAATGTTTCTGGCATAAAAATATTAGAGTGTTCTTTGAGAAAATGATTTCGACTCACCTCAAAAATCATCTGTTTGAAGAAGATGAAGGAAGAGCTTTCCAGTTGTTAATGTCACATTCACATTATAAAGATAACATGACTGTGGTTTTAAACAGGGTTGCCACCAGGTAGCATCACTATTTTTCCTCCCTGTTCCCCCAAATTATTGAACACAGGTAATCGTTCATTGTGATTTTGCTAGAAATGCATAAGTGATGAAAAGTGATAACTGTGCACAAATAACTTATGTTGGAACTAGGAAATCTGTATTTGTACACTGATAGCTATTTTTGTACATCTGCTCTGTTCTAGGCACAAAAGAGTATAAGAACCAACTCCTGTCTCAAGGGTGCTTCCAATCTAGCTTGGAAAGTAAGGGCCAAGTGAATGCCGTAGGGAGTCCAGATGCTCTAATTTTCTAATTATTGTAAAGGGACAGATAGTAAATATTAGAGGCGCTGCGGGCCATGTGGTTTCTGTTGTAGCTACTCAGCTCTGCCGTGGTGGTGTGAAAGCAGTCATAAATGGATGAGCATGACTGAATTCCAGTAAAAAACTATTTGCAAAAGCAAGTGGAAGCCTGATTTGGCTTGTAGGCTGTATAGTTTGTTGGCACCTGCTATAGAGAGTAAAGAATCCTATAGGTGACTCATTCCAAAAAGATTTCAGCGCCTCTCCACCAGACATACAGCAGTGAGCAAAACAAGTCCCTGCCCTCATGGTGCCCCTATTCTAGTCTTGGAGGCAGACAAATATATGTTAGTTGGAGAGAGGTGTGTGATGAAAAATAAACCTATTATAGGTAGGGAGACTGGGTGAGGCAGAGCTTACCACCATACATATAGAGTTTAGGTGTGAAAAATGAACAAAGTAGGACATTTTTAGGCAATTATCAAAGTATGAGTATTTCATTACCCAATAATGTGAACAGTTTTTTTTTTTTTAAGAGCTTTCTGCTATAGGGCGCGTGCACTCGCCAGAGAGAGACAAGAGAGACAGAAAGCAAGAAATCACCCGCTGGGGAGGTGGGCCACACCGCAATCAATCCCTTCTCCTCTGTTCTCTTGGGATCTTGGGCACACATGCACACGTGCCTAGCATGAGTTTTAAGCCACTGGGTCCAGGACTCAATCTGTGATTGACTACATGGGAGTCCAGTGACATAGCCATTACACCAACTGCTGGTCCCCCTTTTTAAATTTTTTTAAACATTTATTTATTTGTTGTGCTTTTGCGGCCACTGGGTATGGGGCCTGATCCATGGTCAGCCATGTGGGAATCCAGCACCTCAACCACCACACTACCTGTCAGCCCCCAGGAGTTGTTTCTTTGACCTTTTACATGGATTTTTTTTTGAGAGATTTTTGATATAGGGTGCATATGCTCACCAGAAAGGCAAAGACACAGACAGAAAACAAGAAATCACCCTCCAGAGGATGGTCACACCGCAATCCCTTCTCCATTCTCCTCTTGGGTTCTTGGGCACGCATGCATGCACACACATGCGCTCAGTGTGAGTTTAAGCCACTGGGTTCAGGACTCGAACCACAATCGACTACATGGGAGTCCAGCGACAGAGCCATTATGCCAACTACTGGTCCCATACATGGAAATTTGATAACATGGGAGAATCTCTGAATTTTCTGAGTGGTACATAGGCTTTCTAGAAAGAAATTTAGGCTCATTAAAGGCCTTGGAGGTGTTTATGCCACCACCACCCCCCACATTGAATACAAGTCTGTGATACATGTACTTCTCTAAGAGTTTAATTTTCCCCAGATTATCTTTCTGAGAAGAACACTCTAGGCATGTGTGCATGTGTACCTAAAATCTTAACATCTCAAGAGAATGGAGAAGAAGGAATCGTGGTGTAGCCATCCCTCTTGGAGTGCTTTCTCACTTTCTCTCTCTCTCTCTCCATGTGTGTGTCTGTCTCCAGTGAGCAGATGTACCCTATAGCAAAAAAAGTTAAAAAAAATTGAAGGTAAAGGTGGCAAGTTTGTTTTTCTGGGTCTTGTTCTGAAGAAAATTAAAACTTTTAACTCTAAATCAATCTGGAGCCCTTGAATAGTTGGAAGATAGTTGTCTGTCTTGTCAACCTTGGATTAAATGGTAGGGATGAAAATTAGAACAGTTTTCCTTGCTTTACCAAATGATCTACAAGTGATTTGCAACTTTTGAAAAGTTGTATAAGACATTTTCTATTTCAAGGAAGCACTTTAGCCAAAAGTGCATAAAAATCGTAGCCTTATTTTCCCAATTATTATGTAATTGTTTCATTTCCAAAAAGGATTTGTGAAAAAGCATACATTGTAGAGGCCAGCAGGTGGTATAGTGGTTAAGGCACTAGACTCCCACATGGTCGAACAAGGTTTGAGTCCTGGACCTGGTGGCTTGAAACTCAGGCCAAGAGCTTGTGCACGTGTGCCCAAAATCCAGAGAGGAGAATGGAGGAGAAGGGATTGCAGCATGGCCATCCCCCCTGTAGGGTTATTTGTTACTTTGTCTCAGGCAAGCATATTTACCCTATAGCAAAAATCCCTTTAAAAATACAGTATAATATTTTTAAAGTAAATGAGAAAGTCTGATTTCTGAGTGAAATTAATGCTAGAGATGAAGTTAATATCCCCAAAAGTTATACACTTGGGCCATGAATTGACTGAGAAACTGGTAGGCCACACGAAGAAAGTAATGTCGGTTACAGCAATTAAAGTGTCCATCAAATAAAAACCTAGATGGGGTGGGGAAGAATTTTTTTATGACTGATGTGAAAGAAACTTCTTTGCATTCTTAAAGAAGAAGCCATGTTTTTTAGTGAATAAAACAAAGGGATGAATCGGATTGGTCTTGAGTGTTAACTGGTGGCTAATACCTCAGTTCATGCTAGGGAGGATATTTCTAAAATGACAACAAAATGTGTTCCAGGCATGCAGGTCTCTGATGATTGGTTCAGTCCAGGAAAATATTTTTGAGTATTTGGGACAGGGTTTGTAAACTGATTTATGATAGCCTTATTTTTAAGTTTTTAAGGGTTTTTTGTTGTTGTTGTTGTTTTTTTTTTTTTGCTATAGGGCACATTTGCTTGCCAGAGACACAGCGAGCGGGAAAGTGAGAAATCACCGCCACAATCCCTTCTCCGATCTCTGCCTGGGATCTTGGGTACACATGCATGCACATGAGGCCAGCGTGATTTTCAAGCCACCAGGTCCAGGACTCCAACCATGGTCAGAAATGTGCGAGTCCAGGGCCTTCACCACCATGCCACCTGCTGGCCCCTGATAGCCTCATAAAAAAAAAAAAATTTTGTCATAAGAGTGAGTGTGGTTGTCAGTGAGAGAAAAATGGAGAACGGGAGAAAGCACCCTCTAGTGAGGCATGGTCACACTGCAATCCCTTCTCCTCCATTTTCCCAACCTTTTGGGCACTCACATATACCCAGTGTGTTCCACATGGTAGGCCATGTGGGAGCTGACTTCCTTAACCACTAGGCTACAGAGCCAGCCCTGGTTGGCTCTTACTTTTTTATAAGCATGTTTGTAAAGATCAAAAAACCATGTGACCATTGTTTGGTTCCCATGATACAAGTGATAAGAACACAATCCCATTAGTTTTAAAGCTGTGCCTGGCATTTATGGTTTTGTTCTGTTTTCAGTTTTATAGATACTGATCTTTAAGATTGCCTCTAAGGTAGAATGAAGCTTATAATGTTACAGTTGCTTAATATTCTGTCTCATCACTTATCCAAAGTATGGTTTCACTGTTTAATTTGTTCTGTTTGTTTGTTGCTAGAGGGTATACATGCTCGCCAAATTGAGACAGAGAAAGAGGAAGAGGAGAAAGCAACCTCCCACGGGGAATGGTCACACCGCAGTCCCTTCTTCATCTCTTCATACTTCCACAGTTTGGAGCACACATGCACATGGCACACAGCATGTTTCTCAAGCCACTGGGTCCAAGACTTGAGCCACATAGTCGGCCATATGGGGACATCTGCCATAACCTCCAGGCCTTAGAGCTAGCCCTAACTATTTGATTTCTTAAATGAAAATATCTCTAGAAAAACTCTTATCAGGGCCAAAGAGACTATTGGGACCAGAGAATAAAGAGCTGCTTAAAAGATGCTAATCCA